GCGCCGCCTCGGCGTGGCCGCCCCACGCGGCGCGGTGCAGTGCCGTCTGGCCGTGCGCGTCCGCCGCGCCCGCGTCCGCGCCCACGCCCACCAGCGCGCGCACCTAGACACGCCCACAGCGCGCACACGAGCCGTACAACCAACGGTCCTTTCTTTCGTTCTGGAGGGTTTACCGCTTCAAGGGAGGCCTGTCTTTCGACTATCCGCGCCGGGTACGCACCAAGTCACTCATATTAACGTTTACAGTAGAGCAGTCTTCCGACCGAGGCGTTGGGTCGACCTATCGACTCGATTATTCAGGGCGGCCAACAATCTAAGCATCGTCTCCTTTCCCTTCTTCCTGGAGATTTTTTAGCTTCAGGGGTGCCTAACTTTCGACTATCCGCGCCGGGTACCCAATAAGTCACTCATATTAACATTTTCAGTAGACACTGAGGCACTGCCGAGGCTCGAAACCGAGACTTTTCCGACTGAGAGTCTGGGTCGACCTACCGACTCGATTATCCAGGTCGGCCAACAATCCAAGTAACATCCCCATTCCCTTCTTTCTGGAGATTTTTTAGCTTCAGGGGTGCCTAACTTTCGACTATCCGCGCTGGGTATCCACCAGGACACTCATATAAACGTTTACACTGAGACACTTGCGGTCTGTGATCAGCAGACTCACCAGATCTACCGAGACAATACATACATGAAAGACAACACAACACTGCCCATGTCGAGGCTCAAAACCGCGACTCTTCCGACCGAGGCACTGGATCGACATATCGACTCGGTTATCCAGGTTGGCAAGCAATCCAAGCAAAGCTCCTTTCTCTCTTTGTGGAGGGTTTACAGCTTCTGGGCATGCCGATCTTTCTACTATCCGCTCTGGGTACCCACTAAGACCCCATGAAAACACTTATTAACCTTAACACACTTATTAACCTTTATACTAGACACTAACACACTTGCGCGCTTCTCAGTCTATGGTCAGAAGCTCACAAGACTTGAGACAACACCTACATGAAAGACAAGGGACAACATACAACAACGCCCATACCCATAGCATGCCCCACGCCCTACCATGCCCATGGCAAGGCTCGAAACCGCTACTCTTTCGATCGAGGCTCTGGGTCGACACACGATCTAGACACTTCGGTTATCCAGGTCGGCAAGCAATCCAAGCAAAGTTCCTTTCTTTCTTCTTCGAGTTTTTTCAGCTCCAGGGACTGGCGATCATTTGACTATCCGCGCTGGGTACCCACTAAGACCCGCGAGAAGACACTTATTAACCTTTACACTAGACACCAACACACTTGAGGGCTCCTCGGTTTGTGGCCAGCAGACCCACAAGACCTTCGAAGACAACATATACATGAAAGAGAAGGGACAATCTACCGTGCCCATGGCGATGTTCGAAACCACGATTCTTCCGACCGAGGCGCTGGGCAGACACACACTCTAGCCACCTCGGCCATCCAGGACGGCAAGCAATCCAACGAAAGAACTTATATAAATCTTAATAGGGTAGATAGGAACTAGACAACTCGGGGACGTCTGAGAATAAATGTTGCAAAGTTCTTGGGCACGTCGGAGGGTCGTAGTTGATAATTTTTTGCCATTGAACATGAGTTGGAACATTTCACGTATGTTACGTATGCGACCTTTTTGCTTGATTGATTGGTAATACCTGTGGTAGGTAATGATAATGTTGTTCGTTGCTTCGCGTTCTGTCCAGAGGAAATGTGCACCCGCCAAACGCAAGTGCTTGGAAGGTTGCGCACTAATTAGGGGCATCTGGCACCTAATGGGACATGCTGTGGGAATATGTAATTCGGTATATGAAATTTCCCAGATATTGATAGGAAAAATGTGGTAATTTCCACCTCATGGCTCCGCTAAGATTTCTTAATGTCTATTCCGAGATATTATGTATTTACCTTTTTATAAATAATAGCAAAAACTGACCGGTTAACGAATATACTATTAACGCAGACCCAATACGTTTAGCGTTTCGAGGTCTTGTGTAATAGCTGATTATTATCGTGTCAAGAGAGAGGTGTTATTTTTCAGGTTTTAAATTTTTAAACAGATTAATTGCTTTTTTTTCACCATCATTGTGCACACATTTTTGACGAAATGACATAATACGGGTTTAATTTATTTTATTTTCATAAAAAGGCAATATTTAGTGAATTCAGTTCTTGATCCTGAATCATAACGTTTTCACTGTTAGAATTTGATAAAGCTAGCTCGCGCAATCCCAGAGCACCCATGCTGTCATCAATGACGGCCTTTGTCAGTGTGTATTCTATTTAACGCCATCTTTGTAATCGCGAATTCAGTGTTCGCAAGATATTGAATAGTATAACATCGATGCTTAGCTTCAAATAACTGTGAATGGGTTTTTCTTTACGAAGACTACCAAATAATGCGGGTGATCTGGGCTGTCCGGGTGACGCCGCGTCGAAGGCTGAGTTGCCGACGTTTCGACCATCCTGTCGTGGTCTTCCTCAGGGCTGGTATGCGAGGAAGACCACGACAGGATGGTCGAAACGTCGGCAACTCAGCCTTCGACGCGGCGTCACCCGGACAGCCCAGATCACCCACATGACTCTGGTCGCGGAAGCCTACGACTTCATCTACCAAATAATGCGTTTGAAAACCCTTGAACTAACTGAAACTCACAACATCATGACAGGATCAATATCATATTCGAAAATTACCTTTTTGGCCGCAGAATCCAAATCTGTCATAAATTAGGGGTCAAAATACAATTCCTAATTAAGAGTGAATCATTTACTGTTCCTCAGGACCGGAGGTGGGTGACTTTTTAACACAAATAATTACCCCCTTTCGAAATTATTGATATTCCATGTACAAAAATAAACTTGCCTGACTTTGATTTCAAAATAACTACCAATTTAAAATATCTCATGCTCTTTTAAAGTTGATACAAAAAGCAATTCAATTGTTTTACGATGGTGTCTCTATCCGGGCTAATCTCAGTAAAAAGTCAACATATATCGATGTCATTTTTACTGAAAGCGGGAGTTCAACGCCATCTTTCAAAGACGAAGGTTATTTCAATGTCATTCTTCTCGCAAGTTCGTGACGTCGTTTGCCGTGATTCCACGGTAGTGTGAATCGCTACTCCTGAGGGTGCAAGAGTAGGTATGAGAGCTCTCGCATGTGAAACATTTGAATTGAATTGAATTAATGCACTTTACGTGGCGAGACTAAGGCCACCAGGTCCACTCTTTTGTCTGACCATGCAAATTTTGATCTGTTCCTTCCACCAACTAGCGGAGAAAGGAGATGTTTCATGGGAGACGAACACGCGTGTGAATTTAGCTCAGAGGCGTCATTTAGGCTTGAGAATCTTTTACATGCAAGTAAATCTACTAACATAGGACAGCCGGCTTTACTTCCCCTCCGAAGGAAGACGCACGACGGATTTTTTCGCCCTTAAATGCGCCTCCTCGCAAAGGAGACCAGACGTACTTTTTTATCTGGATCCGTACTCATTTTCGTACTTATGTCCTGGATCCGGGCGGATTTTTATTACACACCCAAATTGTTCTTTTTGCAACTTGTTCGCTTGAGATCACGATCTTTGGAATTATTTATTTGACCCTAATATGCCCGTAGGTGGCAGCCCTATCATCGGAATATTCTCTTTTGTCTGTGGAAATAAAGTGGTTTTCTCATTATGTCGGAACGTGTTCTTGGTAGTTTTATGAAGTGTTGTTGATTCTGTCGGAGACGAAACATACGCGATTTTTGTTTTCCTTCCCATATATATATATATATATATATATATATATATATATACACATATATATAGTGATAGTACAAAATGCCAAAGAGGATATGCAAGTTTAACGATGCCTTAACCACGAAATGTCCTACATACAAAATGAGAAGAAAAGAATATGAGAACTTCGTTTGTTTAGCTGGGAAACCTATGATTCTATTTCAAGTAAAATTTTACTAGTTTATGCGTGTGTCAGTACATTACATCTGACAGAAAACTTCCTTAAATTTGCAATGTATCATGTACAGACACACAATATGTAACATATAACATTATTATTTCATATAATATGGGCTGCTCTGTTTGTTCATTAAATGTCCTCCTTTTTATGAGCCCTCCGTGGAGGGGGGTGTGGTCGCGCACTTACCGCCTCGGAGTGGCCGCCGGCGGCGGCCCAGTAGAGCGGGCTGCGGCCGTCGTTGTCGGTGACGGCGACGGCGGCGGCGGCCGCGGCGGCGGGGCCGGCGTGCGGGCCGGCGGCC